TCAGTTCTTCAGGAGGAATTGCTTTATAAATAGGTGTAGATTTGCTGTGGTTTTGGAGGAGGGGAGTTCCAGGTCTTCCTATATCTTTGTCTTGGACCCTCCCTGGCAACATTTGATCTTTATCTTAGTTGTGAAACACCCTAAAGGTCTCTCATTGCATTACTGGTATTTTGCAATTCTGATGAAGTCTTACCATTAGTACAAGTTGTTAAATACTATACTTTTTTTGAAAGTAGGAGGAGACTATTATCTCTTACACTTCTGAGAGGCTGTGCAAGTTGTTTATAGGGCTTATTTGTAAATAGAATCTTATTTTTCCACTCTCTTCTTAATTTGGAGATGTGTGCTCACAGAAAAAGCCTGGACTTGAAAACTGCGTGTGAGAAATTACAGTCACCTCAAGTGACACTTACTTTTATGTAATCTGTGAATTCAGTTCTTTTTTTATAAATCTTGAAGGGAATATAACCAGTACTGGGGTCTCATACATTCATTTTAAAGGTAATCTTAAATGGAAATATACCACATCAAGAAGTATCATTTCCTTGGAGATTTCACTCTGAATGTGTAAGCTTCTGCAGTGACTTTACTCTTAATCCAAATTTTGAGAAGCATTTCTTAGCTAGCAAAGGTAGGAAAAGTATTTTTTACAGATTATTTTCAAGTAATGAATGTAAGGACCATAAAACAATTCCTTACTTTAAGACAAGTAGATTTGGCAGCTTATTGACATATTTACACAGAAAGCATTTATTGAGACTTTCATGCAAGGCACTGTGTGAGATTCTTTGGAAGGTTCAGAAGATGAAAGATGAAATCCCTGATTCTGTGGAGTTTATAATTTAGGAGGCAATCAGGAGACAAGAACATTCCAGGTTTCTGGTTCAAGATAGTATTAAGTAAGTGCCACGGAGGTATCTCAGCTTGTGCTGTGGTGGTTCAGAGGGGAGAGAGAGGGAGAGTACACCAAGAAAGGCTTCAGTGGGTGTTCCCTAACGACTTGGTATGGTTTGAACAGTATGGCAGTGATAGGAGGCATCTCAAATGAGAAGACAACCCAAGCAGATGTGGAAAAGTGTGTGGCAGTCATGTTTCATCAATGACACTTTCACATACCTCTCCTCCTAGTCCTTCACCCATGATATTGTATAATAAATAGTGTGCGTAAATGTATGTCTGTACCGCCAGTCATTAATTCAACATATATTTAACAATTGTCAGCATCTGCTCTGTACTGTCCTAGGGTGAAGATAATAGTAGCAAACACAACTGTTGTTTTTTTTTTAATTTTAATTTTAATTTTAAAAATTTTTTTTTAGTTTTAAATATTTATTTGAAAATTTATACTTTGAAATGAAAATGATGTGCAACTTAATTGTGTCATCCATAGGGTGGTTATGAAATTTCTTATTTTTTTTCAATATATGAAATTTATTGTCAAATTGGTTTCCATACAACACCCAGTGCTCATCCCAACAGGTGCCCTCCTCAATGCCCATCACCCACTTTCCCCTCTCCCCCACTCCTCCATCAACCCTCAGGTTGTTCTCAGTATTTTAGAGTCCCTTATGGTTTGCCTCCTTCCCTCTCTGTAACTTCCCCCCCCTTCCCCTCCCCCCTGGTCTTCTGTTAAGTTTCTCAGGATCCACATATGAGTGCAAACATATGGTATCTTTCTCTGTATGGCTTATTTCACTTAGCATAACACTCTCCAGTTCCATCCATGTTGCTACAAAGGGCCATATTTCATTCTTTCTCGTTGCCACGTAGTACTCCATTGTGTATATAAACCACAATTTCTTTATCCATTCATCAGTTGATGGACATTTAGGCTCTTTCCATAATTTGGCTATTGTTGAGAGTGCAAATACAACTGTTAAAAATCCCTGCCCTAGTGTAGCTTACATTCTCCTGGGGGCTGAGCGGAGGGGGGGAGATGGGCAATATAAATACAATAAGTGAAGTAAATAATATGCTGGAGTACAGAGTATGAAATAAACTAAATTAAGGCAAGAGAGAGGAAGAATGCTAAGGGATGAAATTTTAACTGGGTTAGAGCAGGCCTCACTGCAAAAAAGAAGGCCTTTGAGCAAAAGCTTAAACTATAAGAATAACCAGGGAAAGAACATTCCAGGCCAAGAGAACACCTACAAAGGCCATGAAGTGGGAGTATGCCATGTCAAGAATCACCTATTATGAGACAAGTTGAGAGACTGTTATGATAACATAGGGAGACAATGAAGACGGCTTAGAGTGTCAGTGATGGAAGGGTAAGAAATTATCATACACTGTTTACATTCTGAAAATAAGAAACAGCATGGCTACTAAGAAGTGATGTGGGGCTGGAAAGAAAAATAAGAGTCTACCTGGGCAGCTCACGGGCAATTTGGGTCCTGAAGAGCTGGAAGGGTGGATGGAGTGGTCATTAACTGAGACAGTGAAAAATTGTGGGCAGAGCTGGTTTGTAGGGAAGGGAAGAAACTTAAAGTTCATAGACTAACTTCTAGATGAGAAGGAAAGTGTTTCACAAACCTGTATCAAAAATCCTTGAAAACAGCATATAACAGAATAGTTCAAATAACAGTTCAAATAACAAATTCCCCAGTTTTACCCTCAAATAGGGAACCACATTTTTGAGGAAAAGTGGATTTTGTAACAGTCTTCTCAAGCCATGGCTCCTCCTTGGTTTTTATAATCCATAGTGTCCACACCTGATAGATAGCTGTACCCTGCACTATGACCCTCATGTTTGTTCTCCCTCCCTATTAAGACACTTTTCAATCCCAGGGTTTTCTACCATCCTGTGAAATCACCAGTCTGCTTTTTTTCCTATTTTCTAATGCCATTCTTTCATGCTGTGATACTGTGATTTATAATAAGAAATATATATTTGGTCTTTGTCCCTTTCCTGGAATATACTTCCTAAAGTCCTTGGAATTTCCTAAGTGATTAAGGTGTCTTTTGTTGTTCTTAACAAGCCCCTTTCAACCACATGGGAGTTTATGCTAATGAAGTAATTTTTTGGAAAGACCCTAAAATGGGAGTTTATTACCAGGAGAAACAAGCCTGATTAGAGGGTTGGAACTTTCAGTCACGCCTCCACTACCTCTGGGGAAGGCAGAGGGCCTAGAAGTTGATTCCATCACCAATAGCCCATGTTAATCGCGTCTAGGTAATAAGGCCTCCATAAAAATGCCTGAATTACAGGGGTTCAGAGAGCTTCCATGTTGGTGAACAGGTGGAGGTGAGCAGAAGATGGATAGCATGCCTGGGGAGAGCATGGAAGCTCCACTCCCCTTACCCCATACCTTGCCCTATGTGTGTCTTCCACGTGGCTGTTATGTTCTTCTATAATAGGCCAAGTTATGTCCTTCTATAATAAACCATTCATCTAGTAAGTAAAATATTTTCCTGAGTTCTGTGAGCGACTCTAGCATATTAATCAAACCCAAGGAGGAGGTCATGGGAACCTCTGACTTAAAGCCTTTTGGTCAGAAGCACAGGACTTGGGATGGGCACCCGAAGTGGAGATGGGCAGCAGTCTTGTGGGACTGAGCCCTTAACTTGTGGGATCTGACACTATCTCCAGGTGGATAGTGTCAGAATTGGTTTAAATTCTAGGACACTCGGCTGGTGTCCCAGAATTGCTGAGGTGTGGAAAACCCTCACGTCTGGTTGTCACAGTGTTATAGGAGAGTATTGGGAATAGAGGAGGCACACAGGAGGTGTTTTTTCCTTTATAGCTGTTAAAATTACACTGCTGGGAGATGACTTCAAGATCATTCCATTACTGCTTTGGGAGCCGAAAGAGTCCCACCTTTTGCTCAGCTGGTAGCCGTTCCCTTTGCGCTGAAACTCTCACACTGCCACTTTTGACTGATACCACTGCTTGCCACACACAGTCCATGCTACTTCCCCAGGGTTCTGGTGTTCCTGCTGCTCAGTTGGCAGAACCTATCCTGTGCCAAAGACTCTGTTGCTCAGTTGGTTGCTTCTGTTACAATTTGGAGATTATTTGGAGGTTTCATCACTTTTTTTTTTTCCCAGTAACTACTTCCGCTGAACTTCTATTCTCTGCTAAACCTCCTGGGTTTTTGTTTGTTTGTTTGTTTTGTTTTTTACGAAGTCATGTGAACCATGGTTAAATCTGCTGTACTTATTTGCACAGAGATGAGGCTTGACTAAGTATTTTGGTTCTAAAATGCTCTCAGCCAAGCCCTGAGAGGATGAAGATAAGCAATCTTTGCACCCCACTGATAAAGTAGCATTGCTCCCTTGCTGGACTAGTCTCTTATTGTGGACTAGCTAGACTACAGAGGTGTTTCATTGTACATGAACCTGAGGTGAAGCACCTGAGGAACTCCAGCAAGGAAAGGATGGATATTCTGTCTTGCCTTCCCCTTAGCTGAGCGGCATCCACCTGTGCCTATGTGGTAAAGGCCTTTTCTCCAAGGTCACATTCCCTGAGAGGCCCTCCTTGTTGACTTCATGGAATTCAGGGACCCAAATACAAATGAGCCCAGTTATAATATGTTCATATTTCAAAGTTATATCTCAAGTAACCCCGTCCCCTACCTAAGCTTGGAGTAATAAATAATATGTAGATGGTGTTGCTTCCTCATTTATCTTGGAAATAAAAAGAGATCCCTAGATATCATTGAATGTATTAAGTTGGAATGAATCTTAAAAGAGCATCTAAATCAAGTATCATGTTTTCTCGGGCAACCCTGAAGCCCAAAAAGGTTAAACGTTCTGCCCAGGGTCCTACATTTGTTTAATGACAAAGCTTAAACTAGAACCCAGGCTTCAGGAGCCCAGTACTCTTTTCATTACACCATTTATAAGATTATGTCTCCAGGCACTGACTCAGTAATGAAATCATAGTGTTTGATACGCCTTGTAGAGAGAAGGCATTCAAACCATTGTCAGTTGAGTAAAAGATCCTTCTGTTTTCAGGGAGGTAACAAATGCTGGGAGAGCTGGACTTAGCACATGTGGATTTCCATGGTTATATTGGTCATGCATTTTGCCATTTACATGTTGTTGTTCTCTTCTTCTTAAAGATCTTCAGTTTAGATCTTGGAGGAATATCAACTGTGGTTTTAAATGGCTATGATGTAGTAAAAGAATGCCTTGTTCATCAAAGTGAGATTTTTGCAGACAGACCATGCCTTCCTTTATTCATGAAGATGACAAAAATGGGAGGTATGTGTATTTTCACTTGTTTAGTGATTTACTATTTTAAATTACATTCCTTATTCTATGTAAATTTAGTACATAGAGTTTGGATTCTGTTGTACTGAAAAACAGGAAATAATCAATTAATTTAGGTTATAGAACCTCGTATTTGAAGACCTTTCAGGTCTGACAGCCATATTTTAGACCAATTCATGGGAGCTCGAGGGAAAATGGCGGCATAGGAGGACGCTGGGCTCACCGCGTGTCCTGCTGATCACTTGAATTCTACTACCTACACCTGCCAACTCTTAGCAGAAAACATGGAGAAGTTAACCCAGGCGAATCACCAGACCAAGCAGAGGCAAGGGAGGCCCAAGAGGGGCCCTCCTGAAGGGATCACCCAGCGAGAAAGCGAGCTATAGCCTGCCTCCCGCTGTGCCTTGCCTACCCACCATGCCACCCAGATCCTGTCTGGGTCCCCATCACAAGCCTGGCAGTGCACGCAGAGCAGGCTAGACCCACCTACCCCACAGTGAATCCGCCCAGGAGGGGAGGGAAGAGAAGGCACACTAGAATCTGACTGTGGCCTAGTACGGCGGGGGCGACATCAGGCGGCACTGACATTGCGCCACCACAACTCAGATATACCTACAGCACAGAGGAAGTCCTGACAAGGTGTCACCACCACTCAGGACCTTATCCAAAATGACGCAGCGGAAGAGATTCCCCCTCAGAAATCTCCAGGAAATAAATCAACAAGCTAATGAACTGCAAGAAGGATTTAAATAATATAACAGAAAGTGATTTAGAATAATAAGTCATAAAATTATCCTGGGTTTGAAAACACGTATAGAGGACAGGAGAATCTCATTACAAGATCGATCAGGGACTAAGGAACAGTCCGCGAGGGAGCTGAAAAGCAGCTTATAAATGAAAAACAAAGGAATGGAAACCAGCATGTTCGATGGAGAGGCAGAGGGAGAGAATAGGTGAACAAGCATCACGTGGAAGATAAAGAGGAAAGGAGAGGCTGAGAAAGATAAAAAACTCAGGAGTATGAGGGAAAATGTGGAACTAAGTGATATAACTAAAAAGAAATAATATAATTTATCTGAGGATCCGAGAAGAGAGGGAAAGTGCTGGAAGGGTACTTGAAGAAATAATAGCGAAGGATTTCCTGAACTGGGGAAGGAAAAGGCATTAATCAAGAGGCTGGAGAACCCTTCAGAGTACTAGCAATCGATCTTCTCGCACGATCATATCATGAGTGAAACTTGGCAAAATACAAGGATAAAGAGAAAGATTCTAAAAGCAGAAGGGAATGCATGCCCTCTACCTATAGGAAGACCTACAAGATACTCTGACTGATCTTCTTTTTGAAACTTGGTGTAGCAGAAAAAATTGGCACCCAGAATTTTAGCAAGAAGTAGACAGAAAAAATATGCAGCCAAGAATCCTTTATCCAAGTTTCATGAATAGAAGGAGAGATAAAGTGCTCAGACAAAACAAACTGAAGAATTTAGTCACCAAAACCAGCCTCCGAGATCCTAGTGGGACTGGAGACAAGTGCCAGAGACATCACTCACAAGCATAAAGTCATAAGACATCACCCAATGACTCTCAAACCTGATCTTTCTATAATCAACACTGAATGTAAAATGGATTAAATCGCCCAATCAAAAAGCCTTAGTGTATCGATCGGATAAAAATAAAGACCCATCTATTTGCTGTCTACAAGAGACTCATTTTAGACCTAGACCAATTCATGCTGATTCTATTGTAGTAATCCCGTCTGTAATATTATAAATAATGTTTTAAAGAATTAACATTTAATAATAGCTTCAAGTTTTTGAAACATGTTAGGAATACACATGTGCATGCACACTTGAATCAAAAGTATTTTTTAAAGCCTGTCTTGAATACTTGATGACATTTTTACTGTCATTTTGCTTGTAGAATATGAAGCAGCCTTTCTTAACTACATATGTAGTTAATGACACATAAATGAAGAATTGTGGGATTTATGTAAAGGACTAGCTTCTGTTTGATTTAGTGTTGATCAGTGTTGGGTGATTCCATATTCAACAAGAGAGAAAGGCTGAAAGTTAATAGGTTCGTGAGCAGAAAGCCTAAACTAGAATGTTGAAGTTAGATACAGTGGTTTTAATACTTAATAGTCTAAGAGTTATACAATAATGGTGTCCGATATTCTCTAGTTTAATGAGAGCTTCACACTTAATTTCAAAGAAAAATGTAACAATATTTTGCTTACATAGACTAAAAATAAAGACATTGAAAAGAAAATAAAAATTAACCATATATTAAATCACAAAACAAAAAAACTAATGCAAAGAAAATACCAGTTGTAAAGGACAAATTCTCAGGCCAGAGTATAATGATATTTGAAAGCAATAAAATAAATAAAACACAAATTTCCAGCCTCTTAAATACTCTTCTCAATAATAATTAGGCCAAAGAAGAAATTATACCACAATTATAATAGGAGACCTTTAAGGAAATTGTGAAAATGAAAGATGATGTTAGCAGAGCAGTATTTGGGATAAAGTATAATACTATATATTTTTCAAAGCTATAGATTTATAGTTTGGACTGTTTTTATTATAAAGAAAGTTAAAATAAGCATTCAACTTGATGTTTCCAAAAAACAGGAAGACAAACAGAAGTAGAAAATTATGTGTTATTTTAAGATACATATGCACTGAATTTGAAACTGGGAAATGAGCGCCACCATTAGCCCACTCTTTGAGTGAAAGTTGCCCGGTAGGTGGGCTCAGCCTATGCTTGGCCAGTGTAGAGTTATAACAAGGCTCCTCTGAACCTTCTTGTACATGTGTCCCATATGCATACATCTCTCTAGGGCTTGCTCTCATCCCTGTGCCTTTGCACTAGCTGTTCCCTCTAGAGCAGTGATCTTTCCCTGGATATCTGCTTGGCTCACTCTCTCGTGTCCTATATCTTTACTTACGTCACTTTCTCAGTGAGGCTTTCCCTGACCACCCTGTGTCTCCATCTTTGCTGTATAATTTGTTTGTTTGCCTCTCCTCACTAGTATGTAAGGTCCAGAGGAGTGGGGATCTCTGCCTCTTCCGTTTACTGCTAGGTCTGTTACCTAGCACACTGCCTGGAACACAGTAGGTCTCTGTAAATACATGTTGAATGAGTATTTGTTGAATGAATAGTCATCTGGAAACATAGAAAAGACAACTATGGGAACATAAGATTATTACATAGCACTTCAGACCCCTTATGTATGGTTAATGTTATTATAAGCTCCAAATTCAAAAACTGTTGCTGAAATGTAAATTTCATAGGTACCTCATGTACAGGAGAATGTGACATTTTTTGTATTAGGTACATGTATATACCAGTTATGAATGAAATTTTAAATAAAGCACATGTTACATAAATGTATATGCTAAAGATGTTTTCCTCTTGATAGGCAACTTATTTTTTTTAACTTTTTGCAAATCACCTTTTAAATTCAAGTATAATTAACTACAGTTATTTTATAACTACAGTGTTATATTAGTTTCAGGTGTACAATATAGTGATTCAACAATTCTGTACATTACTCAGTGCTCATCATCATAAGTGTACTCTTAATCCCCTTCACCTATTTCACCCATCCCTCCCACCCACCTCCCCTCTGGCATCCACCAGTTTGTTCTCCATATTTTAGAGTCTGTTTTATTGTTTGTCTCTTTTTTCTTTGTTTTGTTTCTTAAATTCTACATATGAGTGAAATCATATGGTATTTGTCTTTCTCAGACTGACTTATTTTACTTTCATAATACCCTCTAGATCCATCCATGTTGCAAATGGCAAGATTTCATTCTTTTTTTTTTTTTATGGCTGATTATATTCCCTTGTATATATACCACATCTTCTTTATCCATTCATCCATCAGTGGACACGTGGGTTACTTCCATATCTTGGCTATTGTAAATACTACAGTAAATGTAGGGGTGCATCTTGATAGTTAAAGGGAGTATATTCCCTAGTAGCAACATGAGAAGAGCAGAGTATACTGTGAAGACTGAAATTTTAAGGCAAGCAATATCAACATTGGAAGTTTGAGTTTCATGTTTGCCCTCTGTCCCTCTGTCTTCATTTGGGCTGCTTTAATAAAAACACCATATAGACTTAGTATCATAAACAACAAACATTTATTCTCACAGGTCTGGAGGCTGGGAAATCCAAGATCAAGGTGCCAGGAGATCTGGTGTCTGGGAAGAGCCTGCTTCCTGACTTGTAGACAGATGCCTTCTCCCTGTATTCTCGAATAGCTGAGAACAATAATCTCTTCTTGTGTTTCTTGTAAGGGCACTAATCCAGTTCATGAGGCTCCACCCTCATGACCTCATCACCTCCCCAAAGGCCCAACCTCCTAATACCATCACACTGGGGGTTAGGCTTCAACATATGGATTCTGTGGGGACACAAACATTCAGTTCTTGGTATCCTCCTTTAGGCTTGAGTATTTCCACCACATTGATGCCTCATTCAGCTTTCCTTGGCCTCTTCAAGAGTTAACCTTGTGTAACATATGCCTTTAACAGGAGGATGTCTGTATTCTAAAACCTAGACTCTTAATGCAGAAGATTCCTAATCCTTGAAGGATGATTTTCAGCTGTTTGTTTAGTCCAAGATAAAATTTTGCCCATGGAACATAGAGTGATTTGTCGTTTATAGATGAGGGGTATAGTAATAGTTAGAGAATACAGGTCTAGTTCACCCAGGATGAATTACATAAGACTGTCCAGTTTCATGCGGTGGGAGAATTACAGGTCTTTTCTGCCTGTCCCCAGATAAAAAGTAGACAAGCTTTATCTGTTGACAGTATTCTGTGGCTAATGAGTAGCAGAACAGGGCTTAAAACCACTAGGTTTATAGAAAGAGAATTGGAGAAGAATGACTGACCACTCTTTTTTACTCCAGAGCGTTTCCAGGTGTTAGATACAGGAATGCTGGGATGATCAAATTTTTTAATACTTTTGTTTTTTTCAGGCTTACTTAATTCCAGATATGGTCGAGGATGGATTGATCACAGAAGATTAGCTGTAAATAGCTTTCGCTATTTTGGATATGGTCAAAAGTCTTTTGAACCTAAAATCTTAGAAGAAACCAAATTTTTTATTGATGTTATTGAAACATACAAAGGTAGACCTTTTGACTTGAAACAATTAATAACAAATGCTGTTTCAAACATAACCAATCTGATCATTTTTGGAGAACGATTCACTTATGAAGACACTGATTTTCAGCACATGATTGAGTTATTCAGTGAAAATGTGGAACTGGCTGCCAGTGCCTCCGTCTTCCTGTATAATGCCTTTCCATGGATTGGCATCTTACCTTTTGGAAAACATCAACAGCTATTTAGAAATGCAGCTGTGGTCTATGATTTTCTCTCCAGGCTTATTGAGAAAGCTTCCATCAACAGAAAGCCTCAGTTACCTCAGCATTTCGTTGATGCTTATTTGGATGAGATGGATCAAGGTAAAAATGACCCATCATCTACTTTCTCCAGAGAAAATCTTATTTTTTCCGTGGGTGAACTCATCATTGCTGGAACCGAAACTACAACCAATGTGCTACGGTGGGCAATTCTTTTCATGGCCCTTTATCCTAACATTCAAGGTGAGGATTCTGTTGACCATATAGGGCTGTCCTTACATTTAGGACTCACACATGTCTTAGAGTCTTTGGCTGTGTACAAAGCATTTTATTTGGGAATTTCTCCTGTACTAGCCGAGAAGAAAAATATTTAATAGTTGTAAAGAGTTTCACACATCTGTTCTCCCAAGTCATGTAAAAACCTCAGATAGGTCTTATTACACCTATTTTGTAAATGAGGGAAAAGTCTAAATGGCTGCCTTGCCCAAGTTCAGCCACTAGAAGTGGCAGAGCTGGGACCTGAACGCCAGTTTCTTCAAGTCAGATTTTATGTTTCACTATTTCCCTGGCTGAGAGTGATGTTATTCCAATTGTAGGGTTGTTTAATTTTTATTTGTCTTACTTTTGATTGTTAATTTTTTATTACTTTCAGTGTGTTTTTCACAACAAAGTTACTCAGAGCTTTGGTTTCTGGTAGCACACAATATATGGCATATAGTCAAATAGAACTCCCAGATGATGAAAAATCTGAACCTGGTTGTCCCCATACCCTGTTGACTTATTATAGGTTATCCTTTGTTTTGTCCCAAAGAGAAATTATTTGGCTATAATTCTAAGAATTGCATAATAACTTGAACACTTTTCCTCTGACAGGACAAGTTCAGAAAGAGATCGATTTAATTATGGGACCCACTGGGAAGCCTTCTTGGGATGACAAATGCAAAATGCCTTATACCGAGGCAGTTTTGCATGAAGTTTTAAGATTCTGTAATATAGTGCCATTAGGGATTTTCCACGCAACCTCTGAAGATGCAGTCGTACGCGGTTATTCCATTCCTAAAGGCACGACAGTAATTACCAATCTTTATTCTGTACACTTTGATGAAAAGTACTGGAGAAACCCAGAAATATTCTATCCTGAGCGTTTTCTGGACAGCAGTGGCTATTTTGCCAAGAAAGAAGCTTTGGTTCCTTTTTCCTTGGGTAAGAGAACTTTCACTGGGGCATAACTTCAGGACAGAGTGTAATGACGGTTGCTCATGTATGACATCTTAATCTGAAGCATTCCATTGTAGAATTAAAGATTCCAACACCAGAAACACAACATTGATTCTTACAGGAGAGAATGGTTTAATTAGAAGTCATTTACACCTGTTTCTACTCAACGCTTAATTTTGTAACTAGAAAGAAACTGTTGAGAAGCTCTGGCTTCTGAAACTTTTTTGCTTGTGGATTTTGGCTTGTAAGCAAAACTTACAGAGCTAGAAGTCCGTAACAGGTAGCTTGAGAAACTGAGACCCAGGGGAAGAAATGACACCATAATTTGAAGTAAAATGAAAACACAGCTCTCTTGGCTCCTAGTTTATTATACCTCATCTCCAAAAATACGGCTTCTGCTGTGAAAAAATACACAGATCACAAGATCCATGGAAAATGGACTGAAAACTCTTCCTTTAATTGGGGAAGGGTTAGCATTCAGTCATTTGAAATGAAATGAGTTTCTCCTGGATCTAGAGAACAAAATGTCATACCTCAAATTCAGTCTTTCATGGTGTATCTTGGGCTGTGTTGCAACATGAAAGGGAAGTGTGGAAGGGGATTCATAAGCTTACAGAAGTCCATGATCTGACAAAAGAAGATAAAGAAATGGGCTCTGAGAACTGAAGTGCCAGTTTTTATTCTTTTTAATAAACATAACTTTCTTTAAATTCCAGATTTCCTTAACGGTACCCACATATTAGATACAAATTTTGGTAAATATTGTGGATTTTTTTAATGTTTATTTATTTTTGAGAGAGAGCGAGAGAGAGAGACAGAACATGAGCAGGGGAGGGGCAGAGAGAGACGGAGACACAGAATCTGAAGCAGGCTCCAGGCTCCGAGCTGTCAGCACAGAGCCCGGCGAGGGGCTCGAACTCACTGAGCTGAAGTGGGACACTTAACCAACTGAGCCACCCAGGCACCCCAATATTGTGGAGTTTTAAAAAAATATGTTTTGTTGTTTTGTTTTGCTTTGTTTTGTTTTTAGGGAGAAGACACTGTCTTGGAGAACAGCTGGCTCGGATGGAAATGTTCCTGTTTTTTACAACATTGCTTCAGAGGTTTCACCTGCATTTTCCACATGAACTGGTTCCAGATCTGAAGCCCAGATTAGGCATGACATTGCAACCCCAGCCCTACCTCATCTGTGCAGAAAGGCGCTGAAAGTGCGTGGATGTTTTCTGGGAAAAGGCTATCTGGTTGCCTTTTACCTCTGAACCTTGTTTATCTAATCAGTGTGCGCGTTTGGACAAAAATCACAGCATCATAAAGCCAAATGAACACAGGTGTGTCTTTGAAAACAGTACTAAAGCAATAATAAGCATTAGCTATGTTTTTTTTTAAGCTTTTATGACTTCTAAGGCAGAATTATCTGTGGAGGAAAACAAAGGTGCAAATGACAGGTGTTGCTTAAGTAAGAAGGGCCGTGGATGCCCTAAGCAGAGCCTGACTTTTCAGCCTCTTGTTGAACACCACGTACTTCTCATCCTTTCTTAACTCCATCTTGCTCTGGTCCTGGGGTCCCTGTTTCCAAATGCCAATGCCAGCCCCCTTCTGGTCAGGTATCATCATTAATGGGTAGTGTGGTATGCGTCCAGTTTAATAGAGGACTAAAGGAGAAATTAGAACCCAGATAAAGGAGTTTGGAGTACAGAGGTATTTTAGACATGGTGGCAGATAATAGAAGAAATATCTACATATTTTAGAACCTGCCAATGCTTTCAAGTCTTGCTCCCTACTATACCTTCATAAAAATTGTGTCATCTCCTTATAAATGAGGGTCCCTGTGACCCCTGAGTATTCATCCTCATAGCATCAGTTCCGTAGAAGGAAATTGCAATAATGTAATTACAATAAAAATGACCCCCAGAAAGTGATTATTAATTCTTCACAGGCACAGACATTTTTCCTAGTACCACTCTTTTCCTAAACCAGGCACAGGTCCTAAAGATTGAATCATTTTACTTGTAGAGGTCTCTAGTAAATTCCTTGGATTATTGTATTTTCCCGAAGATAATACTATATAAATCCAAAAAAAAAAAAACATGCTTTAGAGTCAGGTAAATGTATACATTGGGACACTTCAGAGTGATGGGCTTCTGTTAATAATGATGCCAGGAAAATGTGTGAACTGTGACTGTCCTGATCAAACTGCTCTGTGTATCTACCCGTATATAGTTTTTTAACAAGATTTCTTCCAAGATTATACATCAAGGGTTTCTGCTCGTATAACTTGGCTCATGAGTACTTGCAGCCTTGTTTGTATATATACAACAATGACTTCTGTTAAGAATATGAATTTAGGGGTGCCTCAGTGGCTCAGTTGGTTAAGCGTCTGACTCCTGATCTCAGCTCAGGTATTGATCTCAGGGTCGTGAGACTGAGCCCTACATTGCTCTGTGCTGGGCGTGGAGCCTACTTAAAAGAAAAAAAAGAGAGAATATGAATTTAACCTTAGTAACTTCATCTGTTGAATATTTCCAAGTGTGATGAATCAGGAGTCTTTGCCTTTCTGGCTTATTAAGATGTTTCTGGTTGCAGGAGGGAAAAAGTCCTGGGTAGATACACTTCAGTGGGACATTTGGAGGTAGTATGGCAGTTTTAGGGTGAGTATGTCCTACATGCTCCATACTACAAAGATCTGCTTGCTCACATCCCTCGATTTGGCTTCCCAGATGGCATCAGCTTTATCTTAAGGCAGACTCGTGGAAGTACATGTGCTTGGTTCTCCTCCTTGTAGAGACATGGGAGCTTTTCAGATATTCCCCCAGAACTGTTCTTTGTGTCCCATTGGTCCTAAGTTACATGCCCATCTTTTAAAACTCTGTCTTTTGAGTGGGATTATGGTTCACTTAGGCCTGACTTCTAGAGCCCGTGATGGACTTGGCTTCTCCCAAAGTACATGTGCTACCCTGGGGAAGTATAGTTACCTAAACAGAAATAAGGAGAGTTATGAAGAGAAGAGGAACTCCTGACTAGCAGACCAATTACAATGTCCACTTCACTGCCCCCTGACCACTTGCTAGGCCCAGCAGCTATCCTACCTGCCTCCCTGCCTCTAGACAAATGTGTTCATTCAAGTTGCTTTTTGATCTTTCTCTTCCTTTGATGAGCAAATCTCTCATCCCTGGGCCTCCTGCTTACTGTCATATCTCCTCTGAATGCCTGAGGTGAACTTCTGAGACTGGAGATTCTGGAGGGTTGGTGGTCTTAGCGAAGAAATTTACTGAACTGGAATGGATTGTAATCAAAATTAAGGAGGCTTCTTTTGCTCCTGAATGCTACCACTATTTCTTTTAGGATGACCTTCATAAACCTACAGAGAATGAAAAACATACTGTTTATTTTCTTTACTTTGTACCCATTTCTTATGTTACATTTTTTCTTACTGAGGTCAGTGCGAACTTGACAAAATCATTTAAAAATGCAGATTCATAGCTTGTTCAATGTAAAAGAGCTTTCATCTCATTGTGCTCATTTTATAGCCAAAGAAATAGGAGTTCAGAGGGAAAATGATTCCTGTAGTTCATAGCAGACACATGTCCTTCATCCCTATGCTTTTTACTCCTAATGATTTATACTGTGCTTTACAGTTTATAAGGTTGTTTTTCAATATACTGTCAACTCTTGACTATTTGGAGCCAATTAACTGTGGTAAAAAATAAAATGCTGCCGTTTTTGAAAACTATAAATTAACATGAATTAGTAGTCCATAATGGAAAATATTTATTTTGGGAAACCATGTAGTAATAGACTATGGATCTTCTGCAGTGGAAATGCCTTCTCTGATCAATCAGTGGTGAGCTCCTACCTAGAATGTTGGAAATCTAGCTTCCAATTCAAAATGGCAACTGAGCATTCTTCTCCTCAAATACCATTGAAATAACTCTAAGGATAGAAAAAGGGATAAAGGCATTGAGAATGGGGATGGAGGACCATATTAGTGAATTATATACTTTGAAGTTCTAAAAGATAGAAGGCAAGTGGAACAATACTGAAAGCACTACAGACAAGACCACGCATAGTCAAAGGCTGAGGTAGAGGTGGGAGCTCATTCTTCAAAGGACAGCTAAGGAGAAAATCAGATAAGGAGAGGAGCTCATGAGGACGACAAGAGTGGACAGAAATCAAGCTTATGCCCTGTTCTCACCCCACTTTCTCTTCCTGTTTGTGCAGCTGTAGAACTTGTTCCCAGTGCTGAAAGAAAAGTCTAAACAAGTTGAGTACTGTGCCTGGGAAATGATGGTGTTCCTACATAGGGATTGGTGCCCTAGATTGGCAGCCCCCTAGTTTGGTCTGATTTTGAACCTAAAGTTCTACATCAACTAAAACTATTAATCAGATGTGAGGGCAAGTTTCAGTCAACCAAGTAATTAGGGGGAAATGTCAGCAAAAGGGCTAGCATTACAAAGGTGGAATAAGTGTGACAGAATAATACCTAAACATTTTATACTCTGACTGTGTAGAAACAATGTATCTAACAAAAATAAGTAAAAGGAGAGAAGGTAGAATGTAGAATAAGCTCCCTATATAATAAGAATCAAAGGACATAATTTAAAACTGACAAATCAAGTAGTAGAATTTTAAGTATACCTAAAAGTCCAAAAGTAAAGGATAGTAATATTGCCTAAAATTGGGTAGTGGAGATATGGAGGAAGAAGAGATACAAGCTAATGCTATACATAAAGGAGAAGCAGATACTGTCCAAAGAAATAAGGTGCAAAAATGCTACATAAAGGTAGAAGTATAAAGAAAACCACTAAATCAAAAACACAAAAAGTGTCAACTAAAATTAATTTTTTAGTAAAGAGCAAATAACATGAGAGAACTAAACTAAGTCTCTACATACAGCCACACTAAGGAAATGTAAAGAGGCTTTTATCTCACTTATTAAAAAGGTGTTCAGATTGGATCCTAGACAAAACCTAATGCTATATTAGGTATATGCTATACACAAGAGACATCTAAAACAGATTAAGGTCAAAAATAAAAGGTTGGGCAACGCATACCAGGCAAATGGAAATAAAAAGAAAGCAGAATTCATGATCTTAGTGAAGCAAGGTAGAATTCAAGGCAAAAAGCATAAGCAAGACAAAGAAATTCATTTTATAATCCTGATGACTAATTCTCAAGGAAGTTATGATAGTTATGAATAAATATTGCACCTAATAACGGCATCTTTCATAAAGCAAAAATGACAAGAGATACATGGAGAAATATGTAGAAGTACCTTAATACTAGGAGACGAATGAATTCACTTCCGTCGGCCTAAGACAAATTGAGTGGACCAAAAAACCAAACAACAACAAAACACAAAACAAATGAAGATAACGAAGACCCATACTACATGATCAGTCAGGTAGATCTGACAAATATATCAAATTCTATACCTGATAATAGAATATGCCATCTTTCTAGTATTCATGAAAATTGACCATTTCCGTGGATGAAAAGTGAACTTTGATAAATTCCAGAGGTATAAATAATACAGATTTCATTCTCTGAAAATACAATAAGATTGGGTATTCATAACAAAATAATGAAACCAGAAAATGAAATTGTCCTTATGTTGTGGAATTTTTTAAAAAATCAAAAATAATCTTTGGGCAAAGGGGAACTACAAACCAAAATTGCAGAATTTCTAGAAAACAATAAAAACTCTGAATATTTACATCTATGGAATATAGCTAGAGTAGTCCTCAGAAGAAAAGTCATAGCCCTAAATACTTCAATGAAAAATGAAATGTCGAAAATGAATTAAATATAGGTTTTTTTAATTAGAAAAATAACCAAAGGAAAGCATAAGAATTATAAATTCCTGAGCCAGGAATTAATGAGTTAGACAATAGAGAAACAGAACTAATAAGATGTATTTGTTTTAAATCAATACATTGGATCAAGAGTCAGCAAATTACACCCTACAGTCAAAATGTGGCCCATCATCTGTTTTGTATGGCCTACAAGCTAAGAATGTTTTTTAAATGGTTGAAAAAATTCATTTTTTTACCAGTGTATACTCATCAAACAAAAACAAGAAGAGAGAGAAAAGTGAATTTTGAACGTCATGCTTTTAGGGCATAGTGGAGTGTGGATTATTTTAACCAAATTAGGTGGCAAAACATTAATAATAAATTATTATAGACTAACACTGTAGCTCTGCCAAA